CTTCCGTAGGAAGACGTGATCAGAGATTTTATGTCTCAGAAAATCCCGGCGGCGCCGACTGGGACTGAACTCAGGCATTTTAGAGTGAGATGCAATCACGCTTACTACTACACCTTGCGCGCCGCTATTTTAACTATTTTTGTATTCACAGCAAAAAAATAATTTTGATATCACATCAAAGTGTGCCAAAAATGCGGTGTAATATTACTTACTAAAAAGGACAAAACTATCGTTAATACAGTGTATGAACTGACATTACGCTGCTTTTACTACATTTGTTTATTTTTGTGGCTTTAAAAATTACATTAGATTTTCGACATGATTGAAGTGCATCCTCATGGATGTAATATTAAAATTTATTTTTTGCTGTTTTGTAACTGAAAAAAAAATGAAAAGTAACCCTCAAATCAAGGGGTAGGTCACCCCGCACGTCAATCTTGGGTCATCTTTTTTGTCGGTGTGCCGATTGTGCCGGTCATAGGGTACGGCCAGGGTAGACGCGATTCGCGACACGGTGTGACCAATTCCAAATAATCTTATTATTAATTATTATTTCTTGCGTGAGTCACATCGGGTCGCGTCTACCCTGGCCGCGGCCATAGAGCAAGCTGCGATTGTTTGTAAAATACCCATCCCAGCAACCCGGTATTTTTGACACCTTGAATGTTTTGGTTTAAAATCGCAAAGATAAATCGGTTTGAAGATGACGCGGGAAGTGGCGGGTGTGCGAAATTTTTGTGTTTTGTGTTCATAGGGTAATAAAAGTCCTGTGTTTTAGTGTTTTATAATGCTCTCGCCAGAAACCTAGCCGTGATGTGAAATGCATCGGTTTATCAGTTGCCGCAAAGAGTTGGAACCAGTGGGGAGCATTGTTGGAGACCGACTATAGAGGATGATGAATAGACTTCTTTAGTTTATTTTGTGTGATTTGCAGCATTATTTGAATTAAGGGTACTAATCGGGTTTAATTAACTGCCTCTATCTCTTGAGCCCACTCTAGAACCTACATTTTGTTTTAGATCTATGAGTGAACTGCTGGTCTGAGTTCCTCTGATGTATTCAATTAGAGTATGTTCCTGAATATACAGCCAAACAACACGTAATGATGTGAACAACTTTAATGACAGTTGTCCAGCAGTGCTCCCATTTTATTTACAACAATCCAATGCCTACGAGATTGTGCCGAAGGTGTGCCGAATCTAAGGGAGCAATAAGGGATTCATGTTCAAAACATTTATATTTTGTTAAAATTACAGAGAAAATTTAACAGAAGTCCTGTAAAGTTGTAAGGGAGATAATAAGGCAAATTAAGCGCAATAATAATTCAAGATATTTGACACAGAAGAAAAAAATCATGTGGGAAAACACATAGGAATCATAGGCTTACAAAAACAATGTAATTAGAAAACAATTTGAACTTGATTAAATAAGTTGGAGTTTTCAAATATGCTGGCTTCAAGGATAAAATATTTTTACAAAAAAAATATGCATGGTTTTACAAAACTTGAAAAATACTGTGGTCGAGTGCCGACATATGGCTGACATTTCATTTTCATCAAAACTACCCATTTGATCTAGGGAATTTTTTAAATTAACAGACAAAATGGGCCGAAGGTTCTCAGAGTGCTATGAAATTTCGTTCTTATGAAGGGATTATGATCATATGAATGAAACAACTATTGAAAAAATAAATGAAGCAGCTTTCCCGGAACACATTACGTTTTTGGATTTTCCTAGGCATCATGTACTTTGAAAATTCATAACTTATCAACCAAACATTGAAGTAATCTCAGCAATCCATCTAACATATTATTTGTAAAATGTTTCCCATGAAAATTTTCACTATGGAGGAAAATCACAAAGAAAAGCAGGAGAACATTTTTTTCAGTGATGCAAATCTTCGCAAAAAAAATTTTATGCTTAAAATTTTTTTACATTGGTTATAATTTCAATATGGTGTTTTATGCCGTTTATGAGGTATGATCAGAAAACTAACTACTAAGAAAATTTAATAGTCAAGGTAGAAAAAAAAAAAAAAAAAATCAAGGTAGAAAAAAATGTGACGCTCCATTTATGTTTATTGAATATAGAAATTTACACTACTTTTTCGAACTGTGTACGTCGGGTGTGTGATTTTAAGAAGCAGGAAGAAGTTTTTGTATCTGATGGATATATTCTCGCCTACCTAGAAGCAAATCCCAAAAAATAAGGACCAAGGGATAGTATTTACACCGCCAAATCCACCCGGTGCATGACTCTACGAGTGTCGGGAATAATCAACCATCAAGCCAACAACCATCGAAGGTAATTAGCTCACTGTTCCTTGTCGCATACGAAGATTGCCGTGACGAAATTTTTCTGCGACAAAACATGATCAGAACAATGTGATGAAATAACATAAATTTTTCCATTACTTTACGTATATGTTGCCGACAAAGATGTCAAAAATCATCATTTTGTTGCTGGCTGTTACTGATCACCCCAGTATTATTTCACTTATTTGTCATTTGTCAGTCACAAATGATAAATATATCTAAAACTCTTCAATAAGCATACACTTCGAAAGGGCAAACACAAAATCTACAACATGCGATTTAATGGAATGATGGAATCGCAGCAGGAGCTTACCAACCAGGAGCTCATGGTGGGGAACTTCAACAAAGGTCCCAGGCCAACGCATAAGTGGCCATTCGTCGTCAGTGGAAGCCTTCTTTGTAGGCTCTGTGCACCACTACGGATGCTCAGTAGAGTGATGCAAAATTTAAAATTTTCGCTCCATTAAACTTAAACGATTCCAAATCGGATCCTGACTAACCTCTCAAATTTTGAACCCATTTGGTGAGAAACTGAGATGGCACAAACCATTTGAAGTTTGTATGAGAATTACTATAGTAAAACAAAGATTTTTGTTCATGTCTATCTTCACTATATCGGTCTGCTTCAAAAATTTTCAACTGTACTTGTAGGAAATTTTTCCAGCTACAAGGCCACTTTTTTTTAAATGCAAGGATAGAAAGTTATCAATGGTTCAATGCACAGATGTCTTATGATCATGCTCAATCAACTGCTCAGCAGGCAACATTGGTGTTTCTGGGGCGTTGAATAGGACACAAAAATCATGGCTACTATGTCACACTGCAAAATACAGTGTTGCCTACAGAGCAGTTGCTTGATCATGGCATAAGTTTACCAATCTCTTAAATAATTAATAACTTTTTCCTGTCCCGTTTTACGTAGAAACAATTTTCAGCAAAGTTGTAGCTGAGAAAATTTTCTATAAGAATGGCTATCGATCTGTTTCGCAGCTCAATATGGAAAAAGACTAGACGGCAATGAACAAAAAGTTGAGATTTCCCATAGTAATTTACATGTAAACTTCAAATGGCTTGTGCGAAGTCTGTTTCTAACCAAATGAGTCGTAACTTTGGGAGGCTCATCAGGACACGATTTGAAAACATTTAAGCACTGTGGACCGAAAATGTCAAATTTTGCATCAGTCTAATGCTCAGGTAAGTCATGTCTGCCTAAATCGATTTTTGCAATTCCTTTTCGTTTATTTAACCTTGCCTTCATTTTCTCGAGTGAGATGACACTGGAGTTGAGAGAATGCAGTAGATCATAGATAAGGAACCACTTTACAGAATCTTCAAATCAACTATTTGGCCTTCACATATTGCGATTTTGAGAGCAGAGATCTCAACATTCATTCGATGGAACGATCTATTAACTTCACACATTGTTTGCTTCCCCGCAGCAAAAAATCGTTCACCTAATTTTTTGTAAAGAGTTATATGTAAAATTTTGATAATTTGTGAAGTTTGAGTGACTATTTCATCTATAGGAACATGGTTCATTGATCACTCATGCAACAGTACTCAACAAAAAAATAATTTTAATATTACATCCAAGAGGATGCACTTGAATCATGTCGAAATTCTCATGTAATTTGTATGACCACAAACATAAACAAATGCAGTAAAAGCAGCGTAATGTCAGTTCATGCACTGCATTAATGATAATTTTGTCCTTTTTGACAAATAATATTACACCATATTTTTTACAAGATTGAAGTACATCCACTTTTGCTGTGTAGTGATAAATTATTTTCGAAGGCCACTCGATAATTTTCACCCTGATTTGATATTCTACACTTTGAAAACTCAATGCATATAGATCGACCCCTCAATAACGACTCGAAGAGAGTCGATTGTCACGGAATGATTTGTCTAATTTATGCTCCATGGGGTATGATGTTATGCATGACTACAAATGCATGTAAATGTAAATGTAATTGCTACATACATTTTGAAAGCCATGCAAGCTTATCATTTATTGGAACACTCTATTGATGCGGGTACAGTTTTGCATTACGTTACACAACAATTCGTTGGAATTAAGATCAGAATATACCAAATTATACATCTTAGAATATTAAAGATATTTACTGAAGAATACAATAACTATGTAGCCTTTGTAAAAAACCCCCTTAGAAATATGCTATAGTCTAGTTCAAAAAGAATAAAATTAAAATTTCACATAAATACAAATCGAAATAAACCGGTTCAGATAATAAAATTGAATTCAAAATCATTAACATGACCTTGAATTCGATTTCCCTGATGAACCATCAATCATCGCTAAGAACCCACAATGTTTAGTTGAAACCAATTTCCTTGCGTAATTCTAATCATTGTATATTCTTATTCTACTCACCAACCGTGTAATAATTAATACACGCTTCTCTTTGGCAGAAACGCACAACCCATCGATCGACGACGATTGAACCACACACGGCACTTGCTGAAGCCGGCATTTCCATTAATTGTGCCATCATCGTCGTCATCATCATCATCATCATCATGCAATACTTGGATTCGCGGACGTGCGCGCGCTAAGCCGTCAAAACAATAATCTTATAATCGCTTCGCGTTTGAGCGCGGCAAAACAGTTGCACTTGGTGCTTTGAACGATTCGGATCGACGACGACGAGGACGGATGTGTCTCGCTCAGGAATACTACCTGTATAGTGCGTTTTTGTTTCTGATAACAGTGCGATCGGTTGTTTTGTTTTGATCACCGCGTTCGTTGTGCTTACACGCGTTTAAATCTCTCTTGGCGGCTTTGTTTTGGATGGTCCATCGAGAAGAGGCCCGGAATAGAGAGACAATCTGGTTAGTGGAATAAATTAAGGCGAGTTCATCTGTGTGCTCGATGAGACTATTGGGTTTGCTTGTGACTTGTGGATGGTTCTGTGGCTTATGGTCAACACGTGAGCGTCGTTTTCTCCCAGTAGAGTTGCACTGATGATCAATGTGATGAGTGCAAAAATAAAAAACCAACGCGACGAAAGCTCATTTCATTGACACTGAGTGTTTAAAGCAAACATTTACAGAACAGTGCTTGATTGCAAACAGTTTTAAGATGCGACAATAGACTTTGTGAACTCAATCATGGTTGAAATGAGCACTTAAGTCAAGCTTCCTGGTAAATGTTGTTAATTCGATGCACGTATCTGTATGTACAAATGGTTTTATCTACCAATTAACGTGTTTTTAGCTAACCGATGACGACGAAGACGACGGTTGCAGAGCTGCACATTGAACTTGAAAGCTGTTTTAACTGTTTGCCAATTTTATGTCTATATTTGTGGGGCTGTAAAATGACAGTAACCAAGGTTCAAGTCGTTTGTGTCGTAAAGTTAAAATGTGGTAGATCATATTTAGGCGGATTTGTCGGCGGAATTGTCCTTGTTGCAGCTGAAGATTCATCTGGATCGTATTGTTTTATCGTTGATGAACATGTATGAAGTCTCATCAACAGTATTTGCTCAGATACAAAGAAAGATCAGCTGAATCACGTTTCTTTGTTCGACCAGCTGGTTCTACGGTCCGTCATTATAAACATTGGCGTAAATTGAATTTAATTCACGCTGCGTCGCGTTGCTGCAGAAAGGAGTGGCAATACAGGTCAGCGACTAACGAATTTGAAGGCGGAGGGAACCGGACCAAGTTTAACACACTTGCCGTGCCGTACCTTCTGTATTTGGATGCAAATACTTGAAATTGTATTTTTTTTTTTAGCATTAGACCGGTTTCTATTTTTTTGAGTGGTTAGGATGTGTTTTTGCTCAAACGGAGAAAGGTAATCACTGTGTGAGATTTTTATGAAACAATAATCAATCAAACTCTCGTCCGGTTTTGGAGCGAAGCTCCACTAAGATTGAAAACTTGATGAAAGAGGTATTTGGCGGAATTTTAACGGTGATGCATTAGTTGAAGTTATTGGTTATTATGGAACTGAAACCCATACTTATAATGATGACAAGGTTTTCAACTAAAATCCTGGCTGCTTTAGTAATCTTATTTTACTAGGTTCAAGATGAAACATGATGCATTAAAGAATGTTAAATAGAATGATATTCAAGATTCAATTGTTATTCACATTTTATAAATAAAAAAAAAACGTTTTTTATTCGGTTGTTTCCAGCTATCGTAAGAAAAGTTGCAAAGGGCATACGACAATGATTTTGCCAGTAGAGACGTCTAGCTATATAATAACTCGGGACTCCGAGTACACCACACAGAAAGTAGATTTTTTCAAGATAGTTATACTGATAGGCGAGTCCTAGTTAACAACAGAAATAGTACTCAATTTAACATACATTTCTTCGCCAAATACTCGAGATATTTTTCTCATACTACCTACGGATGGAAACTCAAGATTCTAATAGACAGTTAAAAAGATGCCTCCTTTACCAAAATTGAACCGGTAGACCATTTCTACCCGTTGTAGCACAGTTGGGCTAGTCTAGGATTTTCAAAATAGAACTGAAATAAGAGCCTCTCGTTTTATTTTTGGTTAGTTATTTATTTTCAAATTAAAATGATACTGAAAATATTTAAAAACCGAATTACATCCTATATATGGGAAATGGATGTAATGTCAGCCTAAATTCCCATAATTTGGGCCCATACACAAATTCAGCAATCGACTAAATTTTCAATAGCGACCAAAAATATCCATTAGTACTGTCCCAATGACGCGTTCATCTAGATAAAATTGATAAATAGCAGATTTTTAGCGATGGGCCTAATCGCAGAACCATAGGCCAACATAAGAGTCATTTTCCCTACAATCAATTCTATTGATTTTCAAAATAAAATGTTTCTGAACATATTTAAAAATCTATTTAATCAAACCTCCTAACACAGTGGTGCTCATCCAATTTCCCGCGGGCCACATGAGGAACGCCGAGTGAATTTGTGCGGCTCATAGAATGCATACAGTCTGTGGAATGCATGAATATTTTATCAAATTAAGATTCTCTTGCATTTCATTCTTTTGGAACTCTTTTTGAAACTACTTCTTTTTCACCCTTAGATTATTTTTAGAATTCCTTATAAATTGTTTCAAAACTTCTCTCGAATTTTTCATCAAATTCCCATTATAACCCCATTTTCTTCAAATTTTACTAAAATCTCGTTATAAATATTTTTAAATCGGTTGAATTCTCCTCAAAACTTTGATGTTGTGAGTTTTAACTTCCATTGAATTTAACTCAAAACTACTGCTAAGTAACCTTTCCTCGACGATGTCGAAAATATTAAATTCTCTTTAACCCTCCGTTACTCGCGCTGTTGTACTTTGTACAACACACATGAGTTTTCCATTGCCATTTTGTTGCTGAGTTACCAATCGATCTGAAACCAACGAGTATTCATCAAAAAACTTGTTTTGATCGAAACAAGCTAAAATTTGATTACAGTAAACACTTAAAAACATGCAGATAATAGGGAATATGTAAATGGAAACCGCGAAAACTGTGACCATACTACGTGGGATTTGACTTAATGGATTACAACATGGAATATATCAAGATTCTGACAAGATAGAAAGTTACTGTCTCTGACAAAGTTGTTCAGGAGATCATAGCCTTGTCGCTGGCGGACAGTAGTTCAGAATGTTCTCACTATGTAGCGCTAGTATACATGTGAAATTCTCGCATGTAATATATCTCGAAATCCTGACCAGATAAAAAGTTACTGTCTTTCACAAAGTTTTTCAGGAGATCAAAACCTATTGCTTGGTGCTGAATAGTTCAGAATTTGATCACCACGCGACGGTAATATACACGTGAAATTATCATATAAAATATCTCGAGTTCCCAACCAGATAGAAAGGTACTGTCTTCGGCATAGTTGTTCAGGATGTCAAGGCTTTTTCGCAGGTGGACAGTAGTTCAGAGTTTTCTCACTTTGCGGCGCTACTATAGATGTGAAACTCTTGCATATAAAATATCTCTAGATCCTGACCAGATAGAAAGTAAATGTATTCGGCAAAGTTTTTTTTCAGGAAGTCAAGATCTTTTTGCTGGGTGACAATAGTTTAGAATTTTCTCACTATGCGGTGCTAGTATATACGTGCCTTTCTCCGATATTAAATAGCTCGAGATCTTGATCAGCTAGAAAGTTGCTGTCTTCGGCAAAGTTGTTTAGGGGGTCAAGACTTTTTAGCTGGTAAACAGTATTTAATAATTTTCTCACCACGTGGCGTTAGTATACATGTACACTTCTCGCATATTCTATGTCTCGAGATCCTGATCAGATAGAAAGTTATTCAGGAGGTCAAGGTCTTTTGGCTGGTGGACAGTAGTTCAGAATTTTCTCACTTCATGATGCTAGTATACATGTGAAATTCTCGCATATAAAATATCTCACGTTCTTGACCAGATAGAAAGTTATTGTCTTGGACAAAGTTGTTCACGAGTTTAAAAGCTAGAGTTTATGAGAAAATTCTAAACTATTGTTCACCAGCCAAAAGACTTTGACCTCCTGAATAACTTTGTTGTAGACAGTAGCTTTATATCTGATTAGGATCTCGAGATATAGCATAAATATGCGTGAAGTGTACATCTATGCCACGTGGTGAGAAAATTCTTAACTACTGTTTACCAACCAAAAATGCTTTGACCTCCTGAACAACTTTGTTGAAGACAGTAAGTTTCTATCTGGTCAGCATCTTGAAACAAACCACATGCGAGAATTTCACGTGTATTCTAGCGCTACGTAGTGAGAAAATTTTGAACTACTGTCCACTAGAGAAATCTATCTGATCAGAATCTCGAGATATTTTACATGCGAGAATTTCGCGTATATACTAGCGCCACGTAGTGTGAAAATTCTGAACTATTGTGCACCAAGCAATAGGCATTGACCTCACGAACAACTTTTTCGAAGACAGTAATTTTCTACCTGTACAGAATGTCGAGCTTAGCATACGCGAGAATTGTACACGTTTACTAGCGCCATGTGGTGAAAAATTTCTAGGCTACTGTCCACCAACGAAAAGGCCTTGACCTTCTGAACAACTTTGTTCACGACAGTAATTTTCTATCTGGTCATGATCTCGAGATATATTACATGCGATAATTTCACATGTATTCTAGCGCTACGTAGTGAGAAAATTCTGAACTACTCTCCACCAGCGAAAAGATTATGATCTCTAGAACAACTTTGCCCAAGACAGTAATTTTCTATCTGGTCAGGATCTCGAGATTTTCCAAGTTGTAACCAATTAAGTCAAATCCGACGTAGTACGGACACCGTTTACGCGGTTTCCATTCACATTTTCTCTATTATCCGCATTTTTGTGGGTTAACTGTGATAAAATTTTAGCTTGTTTAGTTAAAAACAATTTTTTTAATGAATACCCGTTGGTTTCATATCGATTGGTAGCTCGGCTGCAAAATGACAATGAAAAACTCACACTGTTGTACAAAGTACAACGCGCGAGTACTCGTTTTATAATAGTTGGCGCGAGTAACGGAGGGTTAAGATTCTTTCGGAATCGAATTAACTTCAGATACAGATTCCTTTTGTATTCTGATCACAATTCTTTTGAAATTAATGTCAGAATTCCTAAGAAGTATTTGCTAATAATGGGGAGATGTGGTGTTTTTGATATTTTTTTGAAATTATCAACTGAAATCTCTGTGAGTTCTTCTCAAAGATTCTTTGAAATTTTTGAATTGCAATGTAATTCTATTTATAACTATCTTTAAATTTCCAAGCTTTGCTCACAAAGTCTTTCAATTTCTTTTCAGCATTACTTTCTAGTCTCCTCGGTTTTCTTTAAGAATACTTTTCACAATTCCCTAGGAGTTCTCTTCGGA